AGTATTTGAGAATACATTTGAATGTGTGTTTTCTTACTTCCCGGCCGTTTATTTACACTTTAGGAGACTGAGAAGATTTCAAGGCGGCAAAGAGATATCGAGGGACCAAATTGTTATTTATTAACAAATGGGGCCTCGTCCTTCCGGAATTTCTCAAAAAGACCGGTAAGAAACTGTTTTCTTTTTCTTCCTGTCTGTAAGAGAAATTGAATTTATACGAGCTATTCATTAGTCTATTTGATGAGAAAAATATGAAATTGATAAAATGGGTTATTAATCCGTACAACTGCAGCAGCAGAGGACTATTATTCTGCTGCGTGATACTGCAGAAGAACTGATGATGGCACAGTTTGATCTTCGGCTGACCAATCAGCGTTTAATTACCGCCCACATGTAGAAATCAAATATTCAAACTGTTTATTCATTTTTCCACCCCTGAACGAAAAACTAAAATTTAAGCTGAATTCTCGTTTTTTGGAAAAAAACAAAAAAACGAAAAAGGATCAGTTTTCTAATTTTTCTACTTTCAATATTAAATCAAAAAAGGGAATGATCGAATGATACACGGATTGTTGTAGCTCACATCTTCTCAAAACCTAACAGAAGCAGCGACTCTGGGCGGGTCACATGGTGTGAGGCCTTTAAGGTTGGAGAAGATCCCCGACTCTCAAGATGGGCTTGTCCAATGAGAAAGGCCGGAATCCCAAGTGGGAGTTTTGAGATACTGGGGAGTTTTTATGACCCTTTGTGTGAGGGCATGGTAATTTGCAAATGGAACTTGAATCGAAATTACTAAAGAGTCTCAGGACACTAATATATTACCTATATACCAACATATAATATACACACTCGTTTAGATCATCAGAAGGCGAATTCATAGATACTAAACATGGTAGGATTACATATAGGCAAGATGACAGGAATGAGTGTTTCCATCATAAGCCTGCATAAAACAGTATAAAATCTCAAAGACAACATACACAATGACCTGAAGGATATGCGTGTTCATTCAAAGAAAGGTTTTCCTATGGATTAATTAGAAAAGAGTTAATTTCTACTGGGCACTGTGTCTCTAATTCAAAGGCAGTGATTTTCCCTACTCACATTCCATTAGGTCGTAAATGGCTCTGGTCTAGCAAAGGTGTCGTGGTTGCCATGGTAAACAGTGGCCTGTGGTCATTCGCAGACATCCTGGCGCCCAGTCTATTGGGTGAGGGGTCTGTGACGACTTGTTAATCTAATGAATAACTGATTTGTTAAATCAAATGAAAAATTGTGTTTTTGATTGGTCCAGATGCTACATCGCTTTGGATAAAAGCGTCTGCAAAATGAATAAATAAGAATGTAAATGTAAACTACAGTCTACCTACTGCTGCCGCAACTAAATGCATAATTTGATTTGCTATGCATACTGCTATAAATTATTCGCTAATAACGCAATCTGAAATTCTTTGGATACTGCTGCTACACTCCGTGAAAGTACTAGAATTGCTGTAGCTCATCCATGCATTCATTATCGCTGAAATTTCATGCAACTAAAGTACTTTCTGCTGCCCTTGCTATATTAACAATGATAACTGGTTTCTATGCAGACTGCTGCTAATATTATTTTTAACATACATCTGAATTTGCTATGCCATTCTGCTGCTATTTAGCAAATTAGCTAAAAATTGCGATCTGAATAGCTATGCATACTGCTGCACGAAAGTACTTAGAATTATTATAAGCGTCTTTATTAAACAATGAAAAGCAAACAAATGATGCCTATTTCACTTTGAAGAGTTCAGAAAATATATGTACGCCCTGGTAAATAAAGTTATAAAAGTCTATTTCAATTTAAAAGAGTTACTTACCCCATGTGTTATCCCTGAAATTCCATGCAAGTTGCAACCAGATATGTCCTGCTGCCGCTGCTATAAACTAATAATTTGACTTGATTTGCTATGCATACTGCAATTAACAATTCGCTAATAACATGATCTGAATTCTATGATAATGCTGCTACACTCCATGAAAGTACTATAATTGCTGTAAGCCCAACTGAATACACAAATAGTAAATTCCAGTTTAAGAGTGTCCTACTATTAACTACATTGTACATGGGCAACTGATTAGATGTGATTTATTATTAGTAGAGTCTTTCTATTTTAAACGAATTCATGATTAATTATCTTTAAACTATCACTAGACATGACTTTTATAATAAACTCTTCACTATCGCTGAACCAAGGTAATGAGTGAAATAGAGGTGTGGCCCCTTTAAGAATGAGCGCTCCCTCTTCTGACTATATGCATTGCAATGCGGCACAAGTACATGTAAGAGCGGATATATTATTGTCTGTTGCTCATTAAAATAGGTAAGGCTGTTGACAGTATGACGTTTATGAACGACAGTTATACGGGTTCACCTTGACTTAAAACTGTGAACAACTGTGAAACGCCAACTGCAAACCAACCCCACTAGTGAGGTGTACATCTGAAAGCAATCCGTTCGCGGTTAAAAGAAATGCATGCCCACAGAAGATATTAACAGCATTGGAGATTTCGGGCAAATAAGGTAATCCACAATTCACTTTACTGTTCTAAAATCCGCAACGTTGTATTCTCACATACATGAACTAGGAAAAGTGCTTGCTGCTAATGCCACTGCTTTTATATGAACAATACATAGTAATTACTCTTCACGCGAATAGCCTGCACGTAGTTTTACAACTTGTATGTTTTCTAATTTAAAAATGTACATCTGACGAACGCAATAATGCACAGAAAACAGAGTGAAAACCGTTTACTTTTAGCTGTTGAGTTTCAGAGAACTCTGAAAGCTCGCTGCGTGAATGCTAGCCAGCCATATAAATGCAAGGCAGTAAGCTCATTGGCTGCATATGCAGCATGAACCAATCAGCTTGTGCCAAGTCGTTTAACTCTCTGAATATCATCAGTTACGTTAACACCCCGTCAAAATGCGCCATCTAGAGTTTCATGACTGAACTATATATTTTTACTTTACTTTTTTTTATTTTATTAATTATTGTACAAACACAAAATGCAAAGAGGTCCGCGGCAATTTTTTTATTTCAATATTTCAAAATATATATTTTACTGATTTTTATAAAATAAATGCAGCCTTGGTGAGCATAAGAGACTTCTTCCAAAAACATTTACAAATGATCAACCCCAAACTAAGGTAGTCTATCATTTAAATGTAAAATACACCTAATAAGTGTTTGAAGACTTTAAACACAAAAGAGTCTTGCAAATACATTTTATAGTCTCTTAAAAATGCAAATGCATGTATTGCTTTGGGCAGGACGACAGAAGGACCTGGCCTTAGGCAACCAAAAATGGAAACCTTAATTACAGACTACTACAACCTTCCCACATCTTTTTGTGGTCTTGTTGCATGCAGTTCCTTGAAAGGAAATGTTTAAACTGACAGACACCAACACCCTTGTGTATCACTTAAAGACAAGAATCTTGCAAGAAAAGAAAATCACAAAGTTGCATACCCTAGTAATCAGCAGATATGCTGCTAATGCTTAAAATAGGATGTCTACATTTTGGTGCACCCCATTTGGTCTGGGTTAAAACTATTACTATTATGTGAATGTGTATGACAGAGCTGTTACCTATTAACTTGGAATAGACTACTGTGTGTACACTCATGCCTTGTCAATGTATTTACCATTTCCTTTTGACATGCAGACCAAATCCAATAAAGTTTTTCCCTGAAAGATTTTAGCATATAAATGGTATAATATTATGCTTTAAGCGATCTTCATTCAAAGAATGTAATGGATCTGGGTTTTAACAGCTGAAGTATGAAACAACCCATCAAACATACTGGTCCATTTACTCATCAAGATTGTGATTCACATTTTAAGCCGGGAAACAGGAGTGAGAGCGAGACTCACGGCTGTGAGAACAGGGGGAAACTGTGAGACAGGCCAAAGTGTCAGAGCCTCTCTATTTGTCCGAACAGGAGGAGGGACCGGGGGAAGAAGGTGGGGACTATGCTAATGGGTTGAGAGGAAGTGAGGGAAGACTAGAGGAATGTGTTGGATATTTCAGGGAGAGTTCAGCTGGGAACGTGCTATCTGCCAAAAGAAGAGAAAGAGAAGAGACAGATACTCACGCTAAACAGATAAAAATATGCCCCATTTCACCGTGGTACCAGTGCAGGATAACTCTCCGTCCAACTATGACAGTCTGGAGGGAGTAAACTGGGTGGATTACAGAGACACAGGACAGGGAGGATACCCTGGACATGGAGACACAGTTAGCTCAGATGGTAAGTTTTTTTCTTTGATTTGTCACTTTGTGAAAAACAGGTGTAAACTTGAGTTTAAGTAACTCAAGATCTGAGTTTGAAAGTTTGATTTAACTCTAAAACTCTTTACAATCATCCTCAAACCATCAGCAATACAGTAACCATGGCAATCGTTCCATCAGTAATGTCACAGAACCCACTGACTACTCACATCCCAGTTTTTGGGAAGTTCTGAGGGAGCTTTATCATGTTGGCAAAGTTGCATCTCTATAAAATGATGTATATTTGATATAAGGGGAGGGATTTAAGAGCAACTCAAGCCGGGACTCTTGGCACAGTGCTGACATGCCAGACACCACTATGGTGACAAAGGAAAACAATCAAGAGCCAAAGCAGAGGCGGGACCGGGGGGTCTGCAATAATGGGACAGGCCTCAAGTATTCATGGACACAAAAGATGGAGCCCTCTCCTTGTGCCAAGACAGCAGCTGAGGGTTTAACTGGCATTTCTTTCCTCCATCTTGTTCCTTTCTCTTGCACATTCTAAAAAAGAGAAAGGAATTGTAAGATAGACGTGTGCAGCCCTAAGGCATGATTAAGAGACATCAGCATCTGTTTACTGCAGCTGTAACTGGCATATGGAGAGACCACCAGGTCTGTGGAGACACAGCTGTCTTTTTCCCCTTTGTGTGTTGGGGAAAAAAGGTGCAAATTTGTAAGTGAGGCTTTTGTAAATGGGATATGCACACCATAACACAGACAAATACTGTATATAGCCAGTGTACTGTATACTAATGGCTTATTGTTAGTAAGGTCAAGAGAGTGTTACTGGATCCAGTCTTGTCATGTTTATGCCTGACTTAGTAAAAAACGAATAATATCTTGCAGAACAGATGTTGGACTTGCATCTTAAAATGGATGAACAAAGTGAATCATTGAATGAATAACTGCAGGAATTTTAAAAAAAAAGAAAGAAGGAAAGAAAATGTGTGCATGCAGATTCTTGCAATACAACATTCCATATGTAATAATTATACAAATTAATCATTGCAACAGCAACAAAGAACCCCATAATCTCAAACAGCGAAAAAATGACATTATATTACAGAAAAGTAGAAAAAGGAAAATTTACTATATATACACAGTGATTTTCACATCATGCATTTCCCATACATTTTTGAGAGTCTTTACCACTGGCTCTTTAAAATCTTTCTGTGTCTCAATCGCTCTCTCTCAACCTATTTGAGTATGGAAATTACATGCTGGAATACTTGCAGGAGTGCAATTACATAATCCTATTTCTAAATTTATAATTTCCTAGCAGAAGATGTGTTTGTCCATGACTCGAATAAATCCTGTGCTGGCCCTTAATGTGTTTGCATTTGTGAATTCAAATTAAGCAGTCACCTCAACCCATAGACCTCATAGAGGTCTTCTGAACATTTAAGCAAAGCTTGACATCAGAAAAGGTGGTTGCAGAAATTGTGGTGGTCTTTGAGGTTGTAGATCTCTTTATACCAAATAAGTTTGCATGATTTTCTCTGTGTAAGCAAGGGTGTAGATGGATGAGGAAGAGTGGTCTTATGTGGCAGTCGCACTGGTAGATCATATAACTTTAGGAGGGGCAAAGTAGAAGAAGGGTGTTCACACTGCTAACTTTGTTTTTTAGAGTGTTAGCTCAGCGACGTTTAGAGCAGGAAGGCACACTGCGGTCATTGTGCTGAAACAGGACTGTAATGGAAAAGCATCAACTCTCAGTCAAACCCATGAACCAAGTCATGCCTTACTTCCACGTTACTTACAGGAAAACAGATAACGAGAGGGGTGAAGATAGATAAAGAGAGTCTTTTTCCCGGATATATGAAAGTAATAAATTCCTGTTCAGTACAGTCCTATAAAAACAAGCTGTCGGAGATCATTAGCATCAGCAGCTAGATGACTTTTGTAACCATCCCAGCTGGTTTTCTTTGACAAACAATTTTCTAACACAATTGGAACAGGTTTTTATAGATTTATGAGTGGGTTTAACATAAACCCAGTTGGTGTGTTCTTCAACCGATGACCAGGGAGGCAGTCATCCACTTTATAACCTGAAGGAGTAGTTATTTGACACGGAAAAAGCAACATCATGCTACTTTCGAGTGGGAGCTGCTTGGCAGTCCTCAACACCAAGAATGTCTCTGCTTCTTAAGGTAACAATAGATCCTCTTCCACTATGAGGGCCTGTATTAGTTTTTGTTGAAAGACAGTTGTACTTAACAGGCACAGAATGTCTTAAACTGACCTATCTCTTACTAATCTCATATATGAAATTGTTTTGTGGATATATCAAGATCAGGAACAGAGCTAATAAATAGTAGTATAAAGGCAGTCATTGATCCGCTTTGGAGGGGTCATCTAAACCTCATCAAGCTCTCAATAACATTCAAAAGTTTGGGATCAGTATGAGTTTTTAAAAGAAATTAATACTTTTATTCAGCAAGAATGCCTTCAATTGATCAAAGGTGATAAAGGCATTTATAATGTTAAAACATATTTATATTTCAAATTAATTAATTTTTTTTTACTTTCTATCCATCTAAGAATCCTGATCAAAATGTTTAATTCATGTCTGAAAGAAACATGAATGAAACATAGAGAAAATAGAAAGGAAAAATAAGAAGAGAACAAATATAAAACAAGCCAGCAGGGTAAGGTATAATGTAATAGTGACTTTGCACAGTTACAAAATTTTAAATACTGATCTATGATAATATGCCATTACTAATTCACAGAGTCCATAAAATCTTTCCACTTTCTCAGTAATATAGCCTAATTTTGTACTTAATATACTAAAACCTATTCTTTAGTTCTTATTCTTTAGATCAGTGGTCACCAACGTGGTGCCCGTGGGCACCTGATAGCCCGCATGGAGTCTCTGAGTTCTATAAATAGCCTAAATTAGCGTCGGCCGATAAATGATACCATATCGGGATTATGATCAAATATATGTTAATAATGATGATAAGCTCTGGACTTTTTTTTACTCAATATGGATTAATCTAACATCCTATCACACAACAGAAACAAGTGTTACAGCAACCAGTCAGTGCATGTCGCTAATAAGTCTGCATGTTCTGTGTCTGTGTGAATGTGGAGTAGTTTCATCTGATACACAAACTCAAACACACGTGACTCGCGGTGTTTTCAGCATCTGCGTCTCAATATATGAGGCCATGAACACATGCACTTCATCTTCAGAGCTGCTCTGAGAGTCATTTCACCAGCTTTATGCAGTTTTATTTGAGAAAAAATACAGTCAAATACACGCTGAAACTAAAACTGAAAGACCTTCACAACAAAACGTCAAAATAAAGATCCGGTTTAACTTGAAATTATATGACTGAATATATTACCTACTGTATACCACAATGCACTTCTCAAAGTAATAATAATATTATTATTTTTAAGGAATATCATACAACCAAGTTATTTTTTATTATTATTAATTTCTGTTGTGCAGCATCATGTGATAAAATAAAATAAAAATAAAAATGCAATGTTTTGTTGTAAATTGATTTCATTTGATTACATTTTAAAAGGTTGATTTAATTTATTAATTAATTTCACTAGACACCATTTTTTATGATAAATTTGTACTGAATCATAAAACATGGAATCCATAAGAAATCAAATGGAAAACACAGAATTTAGGGAAAAATAAAATGCATTTTTAAGCAAGATATCAGGATATATATATATATATATATATATATTCGACTACTCGATTAAAAAAAAAACCGCAGAGAGCATCGGGTTGCAATGGAAACCACCTCCATCTCCCGAACGCTCGAGGTTGGATGATTGGTTCCTGGGGGTGTCGCAGGCCGATCGTCGGCAGCCACCTCCGGTCCCTTTCTTTCCGGAAGTGCATAAAGAGGTTACCAAATCTTGGAGGGCACCTTTTTCTGCCGGAAACAGAGCTGGTGCCTCTTCCGTCCTCACTGCGCTCGATGGCGGGGCGGCAAAGGGGTATGTGGAGATCCCCCCAGTCGAGCGCGCTATTGCGATGCAGCTCTGCCCGCCATTTTTAAGCAAGATATCAGGATATATATATATATATATATATATATATATATATATATATTCGACTACTCGATTAAAAAAAAAACCGCAGAGAGCATCGGGTTGCAATGGAAACCACCTCCATCTCCCGAACGCTCGAGGTTGGATGATTGGTTCCTGGGGGTGTCGCAGGCCGATCGTCGGCAGCCACCTCCGGTCCCTTTCTTTCCGGAAGTGCATAAAGAGGTTACCAAATCTTGGAGGGCACCTTTTTCTGCCGGAAACAGAGCTGGTGCCTCTTCCGTCCTCACTGCGCTCGATGGCGGGGCGGCAAAGGGGTATGTGGAGATCCCCCCAGTTGAGCGCGCTATTGCGATGCAGCTCTGCCCGCAAAGCGCCGCCGCCTGGCGGGGTAATCCGCGCCTCCCGTCCAGGGGCTGTAAGCGCTCGTCCGTTCTGACGGCCAAGGCTTACAGAGCTGCTGGATAGGCCGCCTCCGCCCTGCACGCCATGGCCCTCCTGCAGGTCTACCAGGCCAAGGCATTGAAGCAGCTGCACAAGGGCAGTTCTGACCCTGGGGTAATGCAGGAACTACGCACAGCGAAGGACCTCGCTCACCGGGCGACGAAGGTCACAGCGCGGTCCCTCGGTCAGGCGATGTCCACCCTGGTGGACCAGGAACGACACATATGGCTGAACCTGGCAGATATGAGGGAGGCCGACAAACACCGTTTCCTGGACTCCCCGATCTCCCAGGCTGGCCTCTTCGGCGATGCGGTGGAGAGCTTCGCCCAGCAGTTCTCTGCCACACAGAAGCAGACGGAGGCGATTAGGCACATCCTGCCCCGGCGGCCCGCTGCTGTCATCACCCCGTCGCCGGCTGCAGTTCCTCTGCCCGCTCGTCGCCGAGGGCGCCCTCCTACTGCCTCCACCTCCGCTCCAGCTCGGCCTCAACAGCAGCCTTCACACAGGCCGCAG